TGCCAGTGGTCCTCTACCTGAGTGTGCCAATGAAGTCTCTATCCTGATGGAGGAAGCCTCGGGGAGTCGAACAATGTAGAACTGATGGCACTCAGCAAGAGACGTTGCGATCCCGCTACCCTCAGGAGTAGTAAGAGAACACACACACTTGATGGTGTTGTGTGTGTGGGAGGAGTGCCACAGGTGCAAGTGCCACAGGTGCAGTGTGCCACCTGTTGCGAGATGCCAGAGGTGAGGAGTGCCACAGGTGGGTGCCAAGCAGCCTCCATCATAACACCGCCCCACCACGCTTCATCTGACATCTTTAAGGCCACGACGAAGACACTTTGTACGGATTTCGAGAAAGGCGTATTGCCGCCAGTATTGACGATAAGACACAAATGTAGAACGAGATTTCATTTTGACAGCGTTTCACTCTGTGTACAGCAGTTTACATCTTCCTAATAAATATAATAGTGCTCTTCTTCCCGGATTTTCACATATTGTTTTTACATTTGCTATGGCTGAAGATCAGTGGCCACCTGTCTAGGTACTTCTGCAGTCAGACCAGGTTCTTTTGTAGTTTCGTAGCCTTCTCTAGTATTTATTTTGCTCTTTAGCTTTACTTCGTCTGCCAACAGGAATATGGAGTTTTTTTTTTCGTCAGGCGTATTGTTTACCTATCTGAAGAACATCATTTCCAGTGTGATGTAGTCCAGCGTGCAGGACCATGTGGGACACCCTTATCATGCTAGATCACCAACACATTCCTTCATCCAACGAAGTACATTTCCCTGCCTGCTTTTCTAGACTGTTGAAGATTGAGACATTTATGTAACATATGGGAATCTTTGTTGGGGAAACGTTTCGCCACACAGTGGCTTCATCAGTCCAGTGCAAATCAAGAAGGTGTAAGGAGAGGAGGAGTTTGAGGTAATCAGTCCCTCAGCCTGGAGTCGATGTGTTCAGTCCATCAATCTTGTAGAAGGTACAGCATAGGGCCGTAGACGTGGCTTATATACTGTAGTCAGGTGAGACGAAGCAGGAGGAGGCGGGGTCACAGTGGTACCATCCACTAGTCGAAGTAGGTCTTCGTCCAAAGGTTGGACAAGGATGAAGAATTCTTTGTATCAAGATCCCATGATGTTGCAGTGTCTGTCGGTTTTTTAAACCATTTATCACATCTGTCAGACACTGCAGCATCATGGGATCTTGATACAAAGAATTCTTCATCCATGTCCAGCCTTTGGACGAAGACCTACTTCGACTAGTGGATGGTACCACTGTGACCCCGCCTCCTCCTGCTTCGCCTCACCTGACTACAGTATATAAGCCACGTCTACGGCCCTACGTTGTACTTTCTACAAGATTGATGGACTGAACACATCGACTCCAGGCTGAGGGACTGAATACCTCAAACTCTTCCTTTCCTCACACCTTCCTAATTTGTAATTTGCTTCTATCAACTTTTCTGTACTTGACTGAAGAAGCCTACTGTGTAGGCGAAACGTTTCATAATAAAGATACCTAACTGTTGCATATGTGTCTTACCTAACAACCTGTCGGTATTTTATACCATTTTAATGATCAATTTGTAATGGACTTATGAAGCCACTGTGTGGCGAAACGTTTTCCTCAACAAAGATTCCCATATGTTACATAAGTGTCTCAATCTTCAACTTGTCGGTTTTTTAAACCATTTATCACATTTTCTAAACTGTGATGAACAGTGTCAAGGGCTTAAACCCATCCCTCTCTTTACAACTTATTCCCTGTTACCTTTTCGTAGATCTGAAGTTTTGTGATGCAGTGTTTACCGTCCCTAAACCAGTGCTGGCTGTTATTTAAGAGTTCATATGTCCTAGGTATTTCACCACACTCCTTGTATCGTCAGATTGATCAGTTAGACACATTGATTACATCGACTCCAGGCTGAGGGACTGATTACCTGATCAAACTTTTTCTGATCTTTACCATTCTTCTTTGTAGTGGACTGATGAAGCCACTGTGTGGCGAAACGTTTCGACGGTAAAGATACCCAAGTGTTGTAGATGTGTCCAATTTATCAACTTGTTGGTTCTCTGAACTATTTATCTACATTGTATTGGCAGGGTAGGGAGTCGAGACTGATCTTGGCCAATCCTCTTTAACTTCAAAACCGGCTTCATTTAATAGTTCCTGGCCCCATCATACTCTTAAAATTGTGTGAGGAGTTTGCCTTTATCACTATATTCAACTCGTATCTCTTGTTTACCAACGTAGGACTGGAATTTATTGTCTGCCATTTCTCTGACTCATCTGCATATATTGGGCGGAGTGTGTGTCGTGGTCTCATGAAGCAACACTTCAGCCGGGGCACACGACCAAGCCCTCGTCAGAGCGCGCAGCGTTCACCAGCTACCATTACCAGCCCTTTATTGTTAAAGAGCATAGCTTTGTATACGTCCCGCTCGTAGCATGTACTGCCTCAGTGTCTTGTGTTTAGTGCCAGGCACACACCGGGTACAGCAGTCCTCTCATTTTAATTTAATACCTTTTTACGTACCTCTTTCCTGTTCTCATGGGTTTAGTAAAAAAATGCAGCCCGGCTCACAGTCAAAGCACCCGGGTTCAGACTCAGGTGAGTCTTCATTTATGAGCAGATCTTACGCCTGTTGCCCTGTTTACCTAGCAGTAAACAGATACCTGAGTTCTAGTCCACTGTGTGATTGGCATCCTGGGGGTATGATAAATGATTTAAAACCGACAGGTTGAAGATTGAGACACTTATGCAACATATGGGAATCTTTATTGAAGAAACGTTTCGCCACTGCGTTTCTTCCATAAAGAATTCCCATATGACTCACGAAATCGTAATGACACGATTGCAAACAAACCATACCACGGGTGGGGATAGAACCCGCGATCAAAGAGTCTCAAAACTCCAGACCGTCGCATTAGCCACTGGACCAGCTAGCCACAATAAAATTCGTCCAGCTAGGTATATTTCTACACCATAGGAAGGTTAGCATAGGCACCACTGTGACCACTGATTCCCATATGTTGCATAAGTGTCTCAGTCTTCATCCTGGGGCTAACTGGGTAGTATACCTTAGATAGGACTGGACTTGTAAATGAAGTGATGTAGGATAACATCGTTCAGTCTGCAGATTTAACAATTTAAAAAAAACAGACTACGGAGACACTGATCCCAAGGTTCGCTTAGCCAAACAAGTTACCGTAGCAGTGAAAGTTTTGCAATACGAGAAGTTGGAATACTTAGCTAGGATTATTAATTTTAAATCATTATGAATTAAATATATGGAAATTTCTAGTTCGTTTTTTAAAACGAATTCCCTCTCAGTTCTTGAAGTTATACACTTAAGTGCAAAATGCTGAAAGATATGATAATTCGGTGGCAGTGTTTACACTTAGACTTAAATCAGCGGGTTGTGTTACCTAAGAATAACCATATTTTTTTAAGGGGTGGAGGGGTAAGCCAGTGGAAGGCATCGGCTAGATGACCAAAAGCTCCAGCTGCGGGTCATAGTATGACTAAGACCCGCTTCGGAAACACTTATCCCGTTTCCTGACAAATCTACCTAATCTGCGTTACCTATTAGAGATTTATGTAGCCTCGCCGAATCCTGGTTCCGGTATTGACATCGTGCTGGCAGCTGCAGTAAAGACGTGACTCTTACAGCATGATATTATGATGATAACTAAACTGACTGTTGTCAGCCTCTATCTTTCTCAGACGAAAAAAAAAAAAAGCGTGTTGTTATCCTCAGGTTACTTCTAAATAGTATTTCAGGATTATGTTTGGCCGACGATTTCATCAACCTTCTCCAGCAATTTCCATCTCTCCATCATCTCTCCTTCTCTTCTTTTCCATCCTCTGTTTCTTTTGCGTCATGAATGTGTTCTTTTGTCATTCCCATTGTGGGTTCCAAAACAAAAAAAATTTTCCCCATATCTCTATGATCTTAGAGTGTTACGACAATATATATATGTTTATATATATTATCTGACAAAGACACTGTTTAAATTTTCATAAGTCGTATTTCTTAATCTGGAATACACAATGTTGAATATCTAAAAGTTTTATTTTTTCATTGTTTCCTTAGAAACAGTAGCCACTTGCTCTAACATGTATCCAAACTATTGTTAGATTTGTTAAAACCAGTCTCCATCCATATATTTCAAGCCCACCCCTCCCCGCAGGATGCGACCCACACCAGTCGGCTACACTGAGGTACCTACTTACTGCTAGGTAAACGGGGTCATTATTTTAAGGAAACATGCCCAACGTTTCCACCCGTACGGGGGAATCAAACCAAAGAACTCAGTGTGTGAGCTGATTGCGCTACAACCGACCCAGGGGGACATCTTGTGTTGCCTATGACTAGAATTACATTTAAATGGGTGATAAGTAAGACACATGTGCAACATGCTGGTATTAACGTACCGGTATTGTATACCATTATCATTTTTAAACATTTAAATGGTTTCCCGGTGATAATTTGTACCTGTTACCTCTCCCTCTCAAGTTTTTTCCCTTCAAGTCGGTGTTCTGTACACTTCTGTATGTAATTTTCACCTTTTCCACTTTTAAATATGTTATTTCACATTTTTCCATACTGAAAGTTGTTTTTCATCTTGCCATCCAGTTTTTCCTCTCAAGTTTTTACAATCAGCTGATTCATATAAATGCAAAACATGATGAAAGAAGGACTGACCCCTTGTAGTACCTCTACTAGGCTATTTTTCCTCTGATCTCGGAAGGACTGACCAGTCTGGTTCTGCCACTAGGCTGTTTTTCCTATCTGAACTTTGGAAAACATGACGGAAAAAACTGACCTTTGTAATACCTGCCTCTTCTACTAGGCTATTTTTCTTCTCTGCACATAGAATTTTTGGTCCAATGAAGTTAGTTATATTTTACTTTTTCTTTTAGTTCCGTGTAGAGGTCTGTGAATTTGTGTGTCTGTCTCGGCTTAAAGCAGGTGAGATTTTGGTTAATAGTCTCCTCTTGCTTACAGGCTGGTGTGAGGGAGGACCTGATCCGCGGCTGGTGCTACCACTTGCTGTCTTCATCACAGGCAACTGCTGTTGTCACTGACATTGCTGCTACCACACACCACCTGCTGCTGCTGTTACCACCACACCTGCTGCTGCCGTCACCACCACCTGCTACAGCCACCACCACCTGCTTCTGCCACCTCCATCTGCTACAGCCACCACCACCACCTGCTTCTGCCACCACCATCACCTGCTACTGCCACCACCATCTGTTACTGCCATCATCATCCACTACTGTCACTACCACCCACTGCTGCCACCACTACCATTGCTGCTGCTACCACCACTCGATGCTGATACCACCATTGAATACCTCCGCTGACACCACCACAACTCACTGCTGACACCATCAACCTCTTATTCCATCATCTCCCTCTGCTATCAGAATTATTCACTCCTGCCACCACATGCCACCACCCACAGTACCACCTACTTCCGTCACCACCACCAACTGGTGTCACTGTTAGGTGCACCACCAACCACTGTTTGCACCACCTGAACCCACTGCTGTCACCACCAACAAATAACACCACCACTACCACCGACACAACTGGATATCTCTGCCACCACCGACACAACTGGATATATCTCAGCCACCTCCCCTACCACCACCGCCACCACTGAACATCTGCCAGCACCACTACCACTTCTCCCACCACTACCTCCAGCCACCACCACTACTACCAACCCAGGCAGAACCGTCACCAGCAGCCACCACAACTAAAATCCCACCGCTGCCACCATTGTTTACTCCCACAGCCACTAGAACTACCATCCCTACCGTTGCTACAACTACCACCACCACCACTACTACTACTACCCCTTACTCCTACAAGCACTAGCAACCATGCTCAAGTTCCGGGTGACGAACAGCACAAAGGCCAGGCGGGCAGCCGAGGCACAGAGACGGGCCTTGGAGGAGAAGGTGGGTACAGGGGAGGATAACATGGATACAGATCAGGATAATATGGATACAGAGCAGGATAATATGGATACAGAGGAGGAGGTGGGTACAGAGGAGGAGGAGGAGGAGGAGGCGGGTGCGGAGCTGGAGGTGGGTGCGGAGCTGGAGGCGGGTACGGAGCAGGAGGCAGGTACGGCGCAGGAGGCGGGTACGGAACAAGAGGCGGGTACGGAACAAGAGGCGGGTACGGAACAGAAAGAGATTAAAGAAGAGGAGGTGGGTACAGAGGGTAATGTGGATATAGATCAGGAGAATGGTGCTACTGAGCAAGAGTGATTGATATGAATGGGGAGGTGGAGGGGGGGAGTTTAGTGGGGGTATTGGTGAGTGAGGTGAGTGTGGGGTGAGAGAGGGAGGTATTGGTGAGTGGGGTGTTGGTTTAGGTAGTAGCGGTGAGGGGGGTTGGTTTGTTGAGGGGGTGGTAAATAGTGAGTGGGGTGGTAGTGGTGAGGGGGTAGTAGTGATGAGTGGGCTGGTAGTGGTGAGTGGGGTGGCATTGGTTTAGGGGGGGTGGTGGTGATGAGTGGGGTGGTAGTAGTGAGAGGGGGTCTGTGAAGGTGTAGGATGGGTGGTGGATGGGGTGGTAGTGATGAGTGGGCTGGTGGGAGAAGGCGATGGGTTTTGGTGAGAGGGGAGGAGTGGGCTTGTAGGAGGTGGGTGAATGCGGTAAGTTGGATAGTGAAAGATGATGAGTGAGGTGGGGGGAGGTGTTGAGTGGGGTGGTGGGGGGGTAAGAGTGGGGTTTGGGGGATGAGCGGGGTTAGTGGGGGTGATGGGTGGAAGTGTAGGGGTGGAGGTGTAGGGGGTGTGTGAGTGGAGGTGTACGGTGGGGTGGTATGTGAAGGTGTAGGGGAGGGTGATTGGTGTAGGTAAAGAGTGGGTGGTGGGTGGGGGTAAAGAGTGGGGTGGTGGGTGGAGGTATAGGGTGGGGTGGTGGGTGGAGGTGTAGGTGGGGTGGTGGGTGTTGGTAAAGTGTGGGGTGGTGGGTGGAGGTAAAGATTGGGGTGGTGGGTGGAGGTGTAGGGTGGGATGGGTGCTGGAGGTAGAGTGGGGTGGTGGGTGGAGGTGTAGGGTGGGGTTGTGGGTGGAGGGGTAGGGTGGGGTGGTGGGTAGAGATAGAGTGGGGTGGTGGGTGTAGGGTGGGTGGTGGGTGGAGGTGTAGAGTGGGGTGGTGGGTGGAGGTGTAGAGTGGGGTGGTGGGTAGAGATAGAGTGGGGGTGGTGGGTGGTAGGGTTTGGGGGGGTGGGTGGAGGTGTAGAGTGGGGTGGTGGGTGGAGGTGTAGGGGTGGGGTGGTGGGTAGAGTAAAGAGTGAGGTGGTGGGTGTAGGGTGGGGTGGTTGGGGGAGGTAAAGAGTGGGGTGGTGGGTGGAGGTGTAGGGTTGGGGTGGTGGTGAGGGGTGGTGTAGGTGAGGTGGTGGTGGTGAGGTGGGGTGGTGGGTGGAGGTGGGTGGGTGGGGAAGTGCAAGGTGAGGTGGTGGGTGGGGTGGTGGTTCGAGGGTTTGGGCGGTGGGGTGGTGGGTGGAGGTGGTGGAGGGGTGGTGGGTGTTGTGGTGGGTGGAGGTGGTGGATGGGGTGGTGGGTGGAGGTGGGGTGGTGGGTGGAGGTGGGGTGGTGGGGGAGGTGGTGGGTGGGAAGGCAGCATGGGAGGATCAACATTATATACCGAGGTAATTATACCAGAGTGCCCTGGAGAGTCCCTCTCTCTTACCTATATAAAATACATATTAAGTGCCATGTATTCTCTGTAAGCTGTTGTACACCAGCAGAAATACATGCCAGTACCCCATGTATTAACGTGTTTGTTTCAAGTCTTATCGTCGTGTTTATTAACTGTGTGTAGTGTCCAGGGCGCAGGTTTCTTATTAAATATCCTAGTGTTATGGTCCCCCGTGTCTAATTATTGGTTAAAATATAGAGTGAAACATCAGCCTTGGTGCTGTCTAGACGTTTCATCCCTGAGAAGCATTCACGAATTTCCTCCATTCACCCTAGGACACTTGTATGTATCTTATCCATCCCACTGGGCACATCAAAGAGGTGCTAGTCATTGGCTCCATGTGTCAGCTTTGGTCATATTCAATGGCTGTTAGCGGCAAGCCGCCGGTCATTTACTCAGGTAGGTGGTGGGCGTACCACTTTGCGGGGAAACGTTCAGTTAGAGGAAATCACGTAACCAAATGGGAACACTTGTTCGTGTTTATAGCCCTAAACGAACATTCTCTTCCCTTCCCAATTATCACCGGCTTTGGAAAATATTTCTTGGCCAAACAACAGGACTAAGTGTGGCTTAATATGTTAGTGACCCTCTGGATTCAACAATAGACCCAATAAAAAGGTCAAGAGAGGCCTGAGCTTGCTACCATCTGCAGCTCATAAGACTGCCATCCCCACGAGCCCCTTTGAGGCGGGGTAGATGGCAGACCAGAGGCCTAGCTTCTCCCTACGAGCCCCGTGAGGGCGGGGAATGTGGCTAGGCCTGGGGACACTTGGTCCCAAAGATGAGGAGGTACTGTACCTCCTCCCATGGGAGACTTAAGTCTCGAGACACTCCCCAGATAGGGAGCCAAGGCCGGGTCACCACTACTTAGAAAAGACCCGGGCCGGGAGAATACCGGGGAATAAAAAAAAAAAATAGACCCAATGTTCTGCTCCCTGTTTGCCCAATTACTGTGCTGTGTGTATTGGTACGGTCTCTGCGCCACTTACCGCCCACAGGATGGAATGGGGTGCTTAATAAAGATATTTTACTGAAATTATGTGCCATGAGCATTGATGAGATGATTTTTCCCCCATTCTCCTTGGTACACTTGTCTTCATCTTATTCTGCCCGCTGGGCACATCAACGGTCCGGACGCCATTCATCTGCTCCATTTTTCTGATCTGTGGATTCTGGGGTTTGGAGGGCAGCCAGTTCCCGAATCAGGTGGAGGTGTGTTCGACCCGGTCTGCCACTCTGCCTGGGTCCGCCTGCCTTAATGGAGAGCATTTTGCTCCGGTTTCAAATCTGAAAAGAATTCTTTGGCACTTATTTTTTCTAGTCACTGGGAAGCAGAGCTCGACTTGGTATATATTGTCAGTGTTCATTTAAACCTCCAATATTAAGAAAAAGAGTATATGGTACCATACTTATACTCAGAGCTTCAGTGTTCCATCTAATCCGAGATACACAATAAACTAGCCACGCAGGGACATACAGTAACTAGTGTTGATATTGTTCTGACACTTATATCCGGTCATATTTAAGAAACATTTTGTTACTATATTCTTCAAACATTACATTTTAAAATTTGTAGAAGGCCGCAGCTCAAAATCAGAAAGGGAAAAGGAAACATAGATATTTAACGCCAAAAAAATTAACCACAGTATGATTATAATAAGTCAAAGAATAAACTTACATATAGGAAAGGTATTTACTGCCGTGATCTTTGTGTTATTCGCGATGAAACGTGATAAAGAAAGTCTGCAGATCTGTGAAGTCTCATGCATCTTCAACTCCACATAGATCACTTCCGGCACTGTATGGCCTTTATGGATTGAGCTCTTCCTCTTGAATATATATATGTATATATATATATATATATATATATATATATATATATATATATATATATATATATATATATATATATATATATATTGTGTGTGTGTGTCGTGCCGAATATGTAAAACTGGTCAATTAGCAAGAACTCATTTAAAATTAAGTCTTTTCTAAAATTTTCTCCTATACGTTTAAAGATATATTTTTTTCATTAATGTTATTGTAATTTTTTTTAATTTTGCACCAAAAGAATCTTAGAAAACTTACCTAACCTTATTATAGCAAGAGCAATTTATTTTAGTCTAACCCAACTAAATATATTTTAAATACGTTTACAGTAATTTAGTACTAAACATACACAATCAAATATATATTTTTCGTAGATTCAGAATGATTTTGGCGAAATTATTGCATACACAAATTTTTATTTGTCCTATATGGCAAGATGAGCGTTGCTATTTAAGCCAAGATCGCAAGTTCTGCCTATTCGGCACGACATATATATATATATATATATATATATATATATATATATATATATATATATATATATATATATATATATATATATATATATATATATATATATATATATATAATGTCGTGCGGAATAGGTAAAACTGGTCAATTAGGAAGAACTCATTTGAAATTAAGTCCTTTCTAAAAAATTTCTTATACATTTAAAGATATGTTTTTTCATTTATGTTAATGTAAAAATTAAGAATTTTGTACCGAAAGAACCTTAGAAAACTTACCTAACCTTATTATAACAAGCGCAATTTTATTTAACCTAATCCAACTAAATATACTTTAGATAAGTTTACAATAATTTAATAATAAACAAACACAGTGAAATATATTTTTTCGTTAGGTTCAGACTGATTTTTGTGAAATTATTGCATACACAAGTTTTTGCTTGCCATATTCGGCAAGAAGAACGTTGCTATTTAAGCCAGACTAGCAAGTTTTACCTATTCGGCACGACATTGTCATTATCAAGGAACATAGTTCCTTGATAATGTGAGTAGTCACGAAAGCGCTTGGAATTTCACTACTCTTTCACAGTGGTTGTTTTGCATATTTTAAAATCACCTGTTTATTGTGATCTTACTGCATATATATATATATATATATATATATATATATATATATATATATATTATATATATATATATATATATATATATATATATATATATATATATATATATATATATATATATATATATATATTAGTACATGTGTACTTGTGTAAATATTTTATTTTATTATCGTTTATTATGTGTGTATTTCCAGCTAACTCTAGACTGTATTTCAGTTTCAGCTTGAATGGGCATGGAAGCCAATGGCAGCTATGATGAACGAGGACAAGGCAGACCTTGTCTACTTTATACCTCCTCTCTACAGCTCCAACTTGGTGGGGCCTGCCGCCCCCCGCCGCCCCTCTCTCTCACGCTCCTACACCCTCGCCGCCGCCGCCACAGAAAGGAAGAGGAGACTGGCCACAAGACGAACTAAAATGACCAGTGAGCAGATAGGCGATACTAGAAGAGACAGCCAGATGAGTCAGATGAGCCAGATGTGTGACAGGAGAGATAGCGCAATGAGCCAGATGAGTCAGATGTGTGACAGGAGAGATAGCGCAATGAGCCAGATGAGTCAGATGTGTGATAGGAGAGATAGCGCCATGTGTGACAGGAGAGATAGCGCAATGTGCGACAGGAGAGATAGTCATATCATACCTGAGTTAAAGGAAGACCTGATCTGCATGAAAGATCCCGACACTGAGAGTGGCATCCACATGGGCCACTCCCGCGAGGACCTGCCTCGCCGCAGTTTCCAGAGCATCCAGGAAGAGAGATTCCCTGAACTACAGCGACCTACCTTTGCAGGACGTCCTAAAGTTAGGTGCACCTCCATGAAACTCCGGCCTCCCGAGAAGGTCTGCGAGGGAATGAGGCGTGCCTCTGATTCCGCTGCCATGAAATCCAAAACTCTGCCATCGATATTTCGGCTTTTGAAACCATCATCATACAACCAGAAGAACAAGCACCTGAGCAGAGAAGTGGAATCACGCTGCTACGGCAGTAAGAAGGTGAAGAGGCCTTCGATTAAGATTTATAACCCTCCCTCGCGTCTCTCTAATCGACGAGCGAGATCAAGTTTTTCTCAGAATGAAGAAGATGATCCTTGTGTCTTCGTGTCCATAGACCCCAAGGCCAGGGAGTCTGCCCGCCGCTTGTCCATCGCTGCCGAACAACAAAGGGCTCAGGCAGCAGCCAAGGCTTTGTCGGGAGACTCGCCCAAGATACGGCACGCCCATCTGCAGATGGTGCTGCGTCTCTTGGCCCAGATGTACGAGGAGAAGGTTGTCCATCAGGATTCTGAGATCAAAAGCCTGAAGTCAAAGCTGCAGATACACGATAAGCACCTGAAGCGAATGGTACAGATGATCCTTCACTTGAAAGACGAGGTCAATAAGATGAAAAATCAACGGATCGCTATGACTGAACAGATGAAAGACATCCAGAATGGTATTCTCAGTGTCAAAATGGGAGTGGCAGGAAGAACCGGAATAGATGTATAAGTGTTAATATACGACATAAAAATGATTGTTAGTATACTTACAAACATTATTATCTCTCATGGCAACTTTAAAAAGTAACATTGTCATGAGTAAAAAAAAAACCAATAGATTTTATGTTATTAGTAATGATTGCGGCCAAAAATTGTGTGTCAACTTATTGATGAATTAAGTGTGGTCAGAGGCTAGATCGAACTGACACTGGACGTGCCCCCACGGGGGTAGTAGACCCTGTCAGGAAAATCTGCATTAACCTTCACAATTTGTGGCAAGTTGTGCTAGGTATTACCCTAAGAGTCACCACCAAAATACCGAGGCTGCTGCCTGACCCCCCAGACCCCCATTTCCCTATTCCACCAAATAGATGTTTTACATATATCCTGGAAATTGTTAACATGTAAAAAACAACCTAAATTGTTCAATATTATGATGTTGGATGTTTGATGACATATCATTAGATTTAGTGATGTTGGAGGAAGGCAGTGTTGTGAGGACGGCAGGTCTATCCCAGGCTGCCACACAAAGAAAGCCCCGACTTCACTCCAGTGATGCGCTCTGTTCCCTCACCTGTGTAGCATCCAAACGGCATACTGCTGACAGTATTGCAGACAAAAAAAAAGAGGCTATAGAACAATCTTTTATTAGGACAACGTTTCGCTTTGTGATAAACTTTATCGAGTCATGACCCTATGACACTACACAACGTGAAATGTTATCCTACGAGAAGCTTGTTCTTCAACCTGTCTTCTCTTCCTCCTGTGTAGTAACGAGACCTGCATTATCGTTGTCTTCCTAACTTTTGTTTTTTAGTTATAACAGAGACTACGTTGTTACTATACTGTTGTTCGAAATATATTGCAGAAAGTTTATTGTTCACTTCGTTAAAAGTTCCCGAGTACATTCCAAATGGATCATAATGTTGCCCTTTGGAGTGACACGATGGACACTGTTGACGACAGTAAATTATCTAGTTTTTACAAGAAAATTCTATTAGCGGTAGTTACAATAGATTTTGAGAAATTTCACGCACTGTCTTAATCGGTGGAAATAAAGCAAAGAATTATTTTTAAATGTTGGGTGAGAAGTAGCTAGATCGTACCCACACAAAGCTGCATTGGTTATGATGTCAGACGTTAAGTTATTAGTTAATATATAAAATGCAAGCCACAGAAATTATCCTCCGGAATTAATGAAAAAAAAAGACATTGCTCAAATTTTTACCTAAGATGATACTTAAATGTTGAGGTATATACTGGATGTTGTAGGATGAGATACGGTGACCCCCTCTTGCTGTAGGTCACCAGTGTCCTCTTCCACCCCCAAGACACGGTCACCCCTCCTGTAGGTCATCAATGTCCCCTTCCACCCCCCAGACACGGTCACCCCTGAAGCTCATCAGTATCCCCTTCAACCCAGACACGGTCACCCCTGAAGCTCATCAGTATCCCCTTCAACCCAGACACGGTCACCCCTGAAGCTCATCAGTATCCCCTTCAACCCAGACACGGTCACCCCTGAAGCTCATCAGTATCCCCTTCAACCCAGACACGGTCACCCCTGAAGCTCATCAGTATCCCCTTCAACCCAGACACGGTCACCCCTGAAGCTCATCAGTATCCCCTTCAACCCAGACACGGTCACCCCTTCCTGCAGCATGTCGCCAGTGTCTTCTTCCACCCAGACACCTAAGACTTCTCTTTCCTAATCCGTTAATTTTCTTCCCCGACCTACGTTCTTCCATCCGATCTGTGCACTTCCCTCTTGACCTCTCACTTTGCCCTCCTCTCTGTCCGATCTTTGTCTCATCTGACCCTTCTCTTTGCCCTTTCACCTGACCTCTCCACCCTTTCTCCTAACATATTTACCCACTGTTGAATACTCAAACGATGACTTTTTTAAACTCTGCTGACTGAAGGGCTTATTGTGCCTTCAACATTTTACAAGTAATTTTTCTAGTCATTCCTAAGTTATAAGTGTATATATATATATATATATATTATATATATATATATATATATATATATATATATATATATATATATATATATATATATATATATATATATATATATATATATATATATATATATATATATATATATATATATATATATATATATATATATATATATATACACACAGACACAAGTATGCAGAAGAAACCTAAAATTGTAAACACAAAATTTCCCCAGCGATCTCGTTCATTTTCAGGGAAGTAACGAGTCGAGACACCGTGCACTGTACACACAAGTGAGGTATAAGGTGTGGCATAATGATTATATACGCTTTAAAATTCTTATAAAATTTTTAAATCTCCTAATTTTACCTATGTATGTATAATTATTTATATATATATATATATATATATATATATATATATATATATATATATATATATATATATATATATATATATATATATATATATATTATATATATATGGCCTGTGTAGGCAGCTCTTATAAATAATCGTTGATACTCAGAGGACGTAACATTATCTGGCGTCACCATAATACTAATATCTTTATTTCTACAAGTACAAGGTATACAGGCCTAGCTAACATCAGTGACATACTACTGTCTGCTATACAGAAAGCCCCTTATTATGCAGAGCATTTTGGGCAAATCAGGTCAATTTTGTCCCAGGATGCGACCCACACCAGTCGACTAACACCCAGCTCATTTTTCCGATGGGGAACAAGAACAACGGGTGTAATATAATATATCTTTATTTACTACAAGTACATGTACAAGGTTAGCTGACATCAATGACATACTACTATATAGAAAGCCGTTTGTTAGACTGAGCATTTCGGGCAAATTAGGTCAGTTTTGTCCCAGGATGCGACCCACACCAGTCGACTAACACCCAGGTACCTATTTTATATTGTTGGGTGAACAGGGACAGCAGGTGTCTTGTGGAAACGTCCCTAATGTCTTTCAGCCGTACCGGAGGAGATTCGAACTCCAGACCTCAGTGTGTGAAGCAAGTGCTTTAGCCACCGGGTCAAGGGGCACCGTCATCATAATTCTCATTGACAATAAACAAGTCTAATAAATTTTAATATAACGTGTAATATGTTTGATCAATCTTGCTATCAGAAATATTCCTAATAAAGATCTGCTCGTTAAAAATTAGTGGAAATTAAAATAATAAGAGAGGAGCCTAGTGTGTCAAGCGACGCTCTTCGTGGAAGTGATTATAACCCAACAGGTTTCGAGCTTTTAGTTTTTGATATAAAAATTGTTTAAACGAAAATCCCTCAGGATGACATCTTTGTGTCTCCCAGATGTACAAAATCTAAACCACTTGTTGAGCCTAGCACTGGATTATGTTCAAAGAATTTCTTAAAATTAATAATTAGGTCTACTCTTACTAACCCTCTTGAGTTAACAATCCCAGTGTAATCTAGTATAGACTTTTGTACACATGATTGTACCAGGTTAGGGTAAGGATTCCTAAGTATTTACAAGCTAAGAGCTGTTTCCTACATCAGCTAGTGATGGTATACTGATCCAAGGCATCAGAGCTGCCCTCCTCTTCCTTGGATCAAAATACATTGTGTCACACCTTCTACCTCACCGCTATAGATCATTGCACTGTGCTGGGCTTATCTGTAATCACGTGAACATATATATATATATATATATATATATATATATATATATATATATATATATATATATATATATATATATATATATATATATATATATATATATATATATAATTACTCAAATTGGTGTCATTTACATTTAATGATATTAAGTTTGGACTGCTTGTGTATATGATCTAACATTGTTTTGTACATAATAAATGTAATATTTATCTTAAAAGAATGAGACACGTGCTGTAAGGAGTTCTTGACGACCCTTAGAAGAGAGACATGTTGTAAGGTGCTCTTGACCCTTAGAAGAGTGAGACATGTTGTTAGGTGTTATAAACGACTTTTAGAAGAATGAGACATGTGTTATTGTAAGATGTTATCGGCCTTTACAAGAGTGAGAAATGCTGTAAGGTGTTCTTGATGGCCTTTAGAAGAGTGAGACATGTTGTAAGGTGTTCTTGACGGCCTTTAGAAGAGTGAGACATGCTGTAAGGTGTTCTTGACGGCCTTTAAAAGAATGAGACACAGGTGTAGGGTGTTCTTAACCTTTAGAAGAATGAGACGTGTTATTGTAAGGTGATCTTGGCTACCCTTTGAAGAGTGACACATGTTGTAAGGTGCCCTTGACGACCCTTAGGAGAGAGACCTGTAAGGTGCCCTTGACGACCCTTACAAGAGTGAGATGTTGTAAGGTGCATTTGACGACCCTTAGAAGAGTGAGACATGTAAGGTGCCCTGACGACCCTTAGAGTGAGACTTGTAAGGTGCCCTTGACGACCCTTAGAAGAGCGAGACGTTGTAAGGTGCCATTGACGACCCTTGGAAGAGTGAGACACACGTAGTGTTGTAACAAGGTGCTCTGCCGAGTTAAGTTTACAGAAACTAACACTTTGGTGAGCTTAGCTAAAAAAAAAATCTCAAATATACCAGCGATAAGGGTTGAATACGAAGAGTAAGTCACATGTGCAACACTAGGCATCTTTACTAGCTAGTTAAAGATTCCTAGTGTGGAAAGAGACAGTTGTGTCCTGAACCCCTCCCCCCCCCCCAACATATTGTCGGTATAATTATACCATTAACTTTCAAAGCTTCCTAGTGTTGCACATACGTCTTAGCTCTTCACCTCGTCGGTGCTGCGTACCATTTATGTGTAGGGTTGGATTGTATTAGGACTTGCCTATTATAAGGTGCTTTAATAAAAGTTTTAGAAAAACCGACAAGTTGATAAATATGATGCTGGTGCAACGCTTGGGTATCTTTATTCTGGGAACATTTCGTCAGCCAGTGGCTTCAGTCCAATGCAGAAAAAGGTAATGACGAGTAGTTTGAGGTAATTAGTCCCTCAACCTGGAGTCTGTGTGTTCAGTCCGTCAACGTTGATGGAGTGAACACATCGACTCCAAGCTGAGGGACTGGTTACCTCAAACTAATTATCTTCCACCTTTCTCTGCACTAAACTGAAGAAGCCACTTGCTGGCGAAACGTTCCCAGGATAAAGATACCCAAGCGTTGCACCAGCATCATATTTATCATCCTGAGGTGCTCTCAGCGACCCTCAAAGACTCGAGATGAGGTAAACCTGGACACCTTGCGCAACCTTTGTTTACTTTCATTGATAAACTTTTTCGTTCGCCAGGAACTTCTATCAGTCCTGGTGGGCGAAACATTTCCCAGTGAAAGTTTTGAGGCTTCACACGTGAGTCTGGTTCATACATGTGTGCGAGTATTTATATGGTTTTTGTGAGAAGCAGGATTTACATTATCCCTCTAGTATATAACTTTCAAAATAAATATGACTGTATGTGTCCACGTTGTTTCCTTAGCCAGTGTACAATGTAAATTAATAATAAGAATCATTGGATTTATGTAATGAATATTTATATCCTAGGATTTATGTAATGAATATTTATATCCTTGGATTTACATGATGAATATTTATATCCTTGGATTTATATAATGAATATTAATATCCTTGGATTTATATAATGAATATTTATATCCTTGGATTTATATCATCAATCCTTAAATCCTTGGACTTATATCTTGAATTTTTAGAGCTCTTGATCCAAAGATACTGAGCTATTTAAGCTCTTGCTCTTTTTACTGCAATAATGTAAGACCCTTATGGGTTTAGCGCTCTCCGACGAATAATCCCCTTAACTATGGGAGGGTCCTTAATCCCGGAATGGGAGGGGGGAGACAAGGGGGTTCTGATTTAAGGAATTGGACCTGCTCTCCTCTTGGATCGAATCTGAAGACCTTTGACCCCCCTCCTCCCTCTGGGAGCTGTATCACCCCTACGGGTTTAGCATATGTCTAGAGCAAGAATCTCTCGCTGGACAGGCACCTAAAGTCAGTACCTGACCAGCCGGACTGTGGTCCGTACGTCGGTTTGCGTGCTGCCAGTAGTAACAGCCTGGTTGATCAGGCTCTGGTCCCCCCCCCTATGAGGCCTGGCCACAGATAAGGCCGCGGGGGCACTGACCCCCGAAATCCTCTCCAGGTATACTCTTGAGAGGCGTAGAATGACAGGAAGGTGTTGAGGTGGGTAGCAAGGTAATTTCTCTCCCACTGGAAGCTACTGTTGACGATACCTCTCTAGTCAACAAGGTAAATTCATTTTGGATAAATGGTTTAGAAAACCGACAAGTTGATGGGGCTGACATACTGCTGACGGATGAGGTGGATCAGTGTTAGTGGTTTTTCAGCCTGTTCTCAAGAATAGGCGGAAGATAAGATAAGATTAAGTTCGGATTTTTAACCCCGGAGGGTTAGCCACCCAGGATAACCCAAGAAAGTCAGTGCGTCATCGAGGACTGTCTAACTTATTTCCATTGGGGTCCTTAATCTTGTCCCCCAGGATGCGACCCACACCAGTCGACTAACACCCAGGTACCTATTTGCTGCTAGGTGAACAGGACAACAGGTGTAAAGAAACGTGTCGAAATGTTTCCACCCGCCGGGAAGCGGGAGCTTTAGCCACCAGGCCACCGGGCCCGGTGGGAAAGGTTGAATCTGAGAAGCAGTGGCTTGCAGAGGGAAGGGGGCCGAAAGGGTGGTGGCCCCAGGCATCCAAAAATAAGAAGAGAGAAAAATAAGATAGTGATTTTGAAATTTCAGCGGTGATAAATCAATTTTTGGAGGCTCACCGCACTACAGAGGCAGTGGTTAGCCCTTTATTCCTTTAACATGGTGTACCCTTTCTATCCAGAGAAAATGGTGCCCCCAGTTGAAGATGAAGAAGAGAGTTAGTTTAGTTTAATGTTTATTATGCACCCCATACCCATCCTGTGGGTGGTAGTCAAAAGATTACAGAGGTACATAATGGGTCCAGGGACTGGGCCCCAAAGTTTTGATAGCTGAGCAAGTTATAAAGGTAATGAACTCCAGGTAGATCTGGTCACGTTCATGAATGCCAGACTTTGCAAATGATTATGATGATGATGTGGCAGCCATTCAGTTATATGACGAAATTATTGATTTCGTGATGCTCCTTCTAGCTGGAGGGAACAGAATTACCCCTGATGGTAAAGATGTTGTGGAGTCTTGACTGCAGTATGGGAGGGATGTCTCTCTCATGCTGTGTGTCTCATACACATTACTGCTTATAATCATATTTTCAGTTGCAAGTTGTGAAAAGTCATTTTCAAAACTGAAATTAATAAAAATATATCTGAGGTCTTGAATGTCACATGAGTGACTGGCCAACCTGGCTTTAATAACCATTGAAAAAAAATTCTCACAGCTGATGTAAAAGTGAAGTAGTTCAAGTGTGTCCTGACAGAAGGTATCATTTGGGGAAAAGAACTTAATAAATTTGGTTGACACACCTTTGAATCGAATAAACTGTTTATTTCATGTTTCATCTGTGTTTACATATTCAAAATATCTCCCTTTCTCATAATATTTCTCAGTACTAGACTTTATACTTGAGTCTTTGGGGCATACAGTCAAGGAGTTGGCCCCGGGCATCACCAGCCAGGTATGAACCAGGAGACCTGCTGCAGTGTTCCTCCATTTATGTTCTTATTACATCAATGGTTTGCAGTACCGACAAGCTGAAGATTTAGACACATGTGCAGCATCTGGGAATCTTTATTTTGTAGATGTTTTGCCAACCAGTGGCTTTATTAATACATGGAGAAGATTCTGGCCAGGACCTGTCCTGGCAAACCTACATGAATATGATAAATTCAGAGACAAAAGAGAAGACTGAAGAAGAGGTAAATAATAAGGTAATCAGTCCCTCAACATATCAGCAGGTTTATGAATGAGACAGATTAGTAACACTTGAATATCTTTATTACCAAAACGTCTCGCCTGCTCATCAGGCTTCAGTCGGATGCAAAAAACACTAAAACTCTAGAAACATGTCCGAAATCTACACACGGAAATCACTCCCTACGAAGGCAAAAGACTGGGCAAGTGGTGCAATATCCCCCAATGAAAAGTAGGGGCGCCATGAGTTTACCTGAAGTTTACCTGGAGTTCCGGGGGTCAACGCCCCCGCGGCCCGGTCTGTGACCAGGCCTCCTGGTGGATCAGAGCCTGATCAACCAGGCTGTTGCTGTTGGCTGCACGCAAACCAACGTACGAGCCACAGCCCGGCTGGTCAGGAACCGACTTTAGGTGCTTGTCCAGTGCCAGCTTGAAGACTGCCAGGGGTCTGTTGGTAATCCCCCTTATGTATGCTGGGAGGCAGTTGAACAGTCTCGGGCCCCTGACACTTATTGTATGGTCTCTTAACGTGCTAGTGACACCCCTGCTAAGAGATAACACAATAAGTGTCAGGGGCTCAAGACTGTTCAAATGCCTCCCAGCATACATAAGGGGTTCACCAATAGACTCCTTGCTGTCTTCAAAGAGGGAGCTGGACAGACACCTACAGTACCTGATCAGCCGGGATGTGGCTCGTACGTTGGTCTACGTGCGGCCAACAGTAACAGCCTGGTTGATCAGGCCCAGATCCACTACGAGGCCTAGTCATGAACCGGGTCAAGGATGGGGGGTGTTGACCCTGGAATACCTTCCACTGATACCTACTACCGAAGGTGTTTGATAACGTCACAATTACTTTTACTGTGTGCTATACATAAGAAGCCTGCTGTGCAGAACAAACATTTCTGTAGTACAGACACTCAAGGGTTGCTACTGTGTCTTATTTATTAGCTTGTGGGAACTGTATACCATAAAAAATATATAATAGTAGCTGTGGAAAATTGCATTTATCTGAATGTATCATTATATACATAACAGTAAATGAACATAGATAATTATTATTTATTAGTTAGACAAGTAGGAATTTGGGACACCTAAGTCGCAAAAAATGTCCCCCTTCGATACCTACCACTGTCATATCCACAAGTTGCTCTGGACCTATTAATTAAATGAAATATACATCACCAGGAATGCTGGTAAATGTATAAATTTGTGGACTGTATATTAAAATTAAAAAAAGGATTATAGTATATACACACATTTATATAACAGAAGGAGAATATATCTTAATCATAACACTCACCAATTTGACTGGAGATTAAGTTGTATCATACTCAGAAAACCTCACTGTCTATACATGAAAATAACAACTGGCCAGAGTTATAACATAACAGACTTATCTGAGGTTCCTGGAGCTGTCTTGCCCAGTCGCCTGATATCTCAAGTTATGCAGGAATGCACATCCAACAATTTCGCCTCCTATTTGAGAGGTGTCAGCCCAATTTTAACCTCTAGAACACGAAAATTCCTTCCCATTACACTAACGTTGTATCCAATTCAAATTAACAATGGCGACTGCCCTCCCCAGCCGCAGGTTTCCCATTTTCGATAACATACTTCTTTTAAAAATACAATATAGGGCATCTATTCACCTATAAATTACCGTATTTCCGGAAAATATATACAGTATTTTCCACAGTAGCAGCAGGTTTTCTTGTGATGGAACTATGTCCGGTGGTGTCAGATAAAGACCTGTTTTTTACGCTTCTACTCACAGGGTGAGCATGGGATTCACAATAAACTAGCGACGTAGCCCACACAAAACCAGCAACTCAAGGAGTAATACACAAATGACTCGCTGATATAAACTGAAACTTATGACGACGTTTCGGTTTGATTTGGACTATTAACTGGTTAATGGTCCAAGTCAGACCGAAAGGTTGTCATAACTTTCAGTCTCCTAAGTTTGGTCCGACTTGAACCATTAACTGGTTAAGTAAATAAGTAAATTTATTCAGGTATACATAAATACAGTTACATAGATTATCATATATAGCAGCATATATGTAGAGAACCTAGGATAACCCGAAAAAGTCAGACAGAGAGACTTATTTCCATTTGGGCCTGGTTAATGGTCCAAGTCAGACCGAAACGTTATCATAAGTTTCAATCTCTTAAGTTTGGTCCGACTTGAACCATTAACTGGTTAATGGTGCAAGCCAGACCGAAAAGTTGTCATAAGTTTCAGTCTCCTAAGTGCAAGTTACTTGTGTATTGTGACCTTCCATTCCTTAACAAGTAAGTTTTAGTAGCCCTTAACAACAACAACAACAACAGTGTCTCGAGTTTTCGTTGGCTAGTAAGCTTTTTTTTTTTTTAATTAAGGTTTTTATACATAATTTTTACAGTTATATCGTTATAGTATAATTATACCGTTATAGTATAAAGTTTGCTTATATGGTAACGTATGTGAAGATTATTCTAGGATAACCCACCCGTTGGGTTTAGGTGTTATTTAGTTCGACATATAAGATTAATACCATTTTATTCTGTCTTTATTAGTTTGGCATCACTTCAAGTGAGATTCTTGATGATTTACACAACTTGTGCTGTAGAATTACTATTAAAAAAAGTTTGGAGTAAGAAAGGAAGTAGGATTGCAGAGGAACAAGGATTTAAAAAGGATTGGGGATATATAATTTTTTTTTTTTTAACAAATCACATATACATACAGATATAGACATGCATATATATAGACATACATTTACAATTATCTACATATACCCATATACCAAATGTTTACAATGAAACGCAGAAGTGACCATTACTTAGGTAGAGGTAAGGGAATGTTTGTTGCATTTATAGATTTAGAAAAAGCGTATCATAGGGTAGACAAGAAAGCAATGTAGCAGAGCAGGTGTTGCAAGTGTATAGAATACGTAGAACATAATTAAAAACAGCGGTGGAGATTTTTTAATCGTGAGAGTTCTGAAGACTAGATTATTATTATTATAATAAAAAAGAAGCGCTAAACCCACTAGGGTCAAACAGGACTGCAGGGCAGGGGGTATGGCTGGAGTAGAAACTAGCCAGGGGTGGAGAGGATAACACAGGTAGAGCTAGACCTGAAGACTAGAGCCTTCACCAATACTGTATTGAGAAAAACAGGCATCTACAGAAGCAAAACCAGGATTATGGTGCCTCTCCTAAGTGTAGAGTTCTGATGAATTGTTCCAACCACGACATTGTGACCATCTATTCTAAATTTGTACCGATTTATTTTTTATTGAGGAATTTATTTCAATTCATAAATGTGTGTGTCCATTCAGTGCTTATGTAGTACATGTACAGTACATGCATATGAAGAATTACATGCATATGAAGAATATTGCATTAGTGCCATTGTTCTTATGTGTTATTTTGTTACAGTAAACAAGAACAATGGGAGATGACTGGAAATCCTGGAACTTCCGCCAGAGAGTTGTTGCCCAGTTGGAAGAACTCATTCGACAGACTCCACCTGGTAATCACAGGAATGCTCATGAGTTAGAACTTCAGGTATTATAATTTTAAATATCAGAGGATTGTTAATTTTTTATCCCCATTTTTTTAAATCTTGCACTTTTTATTCATCTGTTATGTCCTAGAGTATTGTAGCTGCATTTTCTTTCTCATGATCTGTTAGCCGTAAGGTGATCTTTTTCATGGATCTATAAGTATACCTACATGACTCAGAATTTTGCACCTTCCTACTTTTATTTTCAATTGATTTGAAGATGGCTAGCTTGTTAATAGTTGTCATATTCTACTATTCTGTTGTGTTTTCACCATTATTAAATTCTTTAACCCTTCAGCTATTATCTACCTGTTTTTATCTTGTACTCTGAAGGGTATGATATATTTTAGACAGAAATATAAAAAATATTACAGGTTTTTCTTTTGCAGTGTATATATGTTTCATTTACATTTTTTATAGTAATACAGTGTAAAGGTATATGAATTTAAGTACAATATTGTATAAATTTGATACATAGTATGTATATTATTATTATAATCATGGAGTATTATTATTATAATCATGGAGTATCAATATTCTGTATTCCATTAATTGTTTGCAGAGGAAACTTTTAAATTTTACTGTGTATTTATTTTAATTTGGAATAAAGATAATAAGAGCATATAATTTTACAGGTGTTCCAAAGGGCCACCAAGAAAGATGAATATCTCCAGTGCATAGGACGTATTGTAATGCACATGCGAGAGTTGGCTCAGAATAGCAACCCTCAGAATAATAACCCTCACCTTGCAGAAGTCTTGACACGTCACCCAGGGCCTGGCGGTCAGATGACTGGTCCAGGCGGTCAGATGGGTGGACCAGGTGGGCCAGTTGTAACTGGTCCAACCACTCCCACCTTAATGGCTGCTCAGCAGGTAAATATGCAAGGTGCACCAAGAATTGGGCAACCGATGCCACCTAACATAACAAATCAGGGAGCAGATATGGGCAGTTGGTCAGCTAATAATCGGCAACGAATAAATGAGATGCAAATGCCAGGTGTAAATAAAAAACAAACAGTGATGACAATGGGTCCAATTTCTCAGCCAGGGAAAATTAACCAACTGCAAATGACTATTACAGGTCAGAGTGGAGGTACAACACAAATTGGACCAGTCGCTGGCCAGTTAGTTAGTAATGTAGGCCGTGGCACAGGTACTATGCAGCCACGTGTTCCCTCTCCTGGGTTTCCACGTCAAGGAACACCCACACCGACAAGTGCTTCACCAGCTCCCCCATTATCTGCTCCAAACAGTCAGCCATCACCTGCATTTGTATCTCCCTCACCATCATCTAGCATGGTGCCCTCACCTGTTGGTGGGAGTAATAGTGGAGGTATGAGTAGAAATGCTAGCCACCTCGGAGCTCCTTCTCCTGGTGGAATGATCAACACTCCTGGACAAACTCAGCAGCCTTCCCCTGCTGCTCAGTCAGCATCCAGTAGTCAGGTAGAAGATGCTGCTTACAGGGAAAAAGTGCGTCAACTCAGTAAATATGTTGTTCCTTTACGTCGCATGATTCAAAGAATTGGAAATGAAGATGCAGAAAAATCTAAGAAAATGAAACAGCTTCATGATATGCTGCAAAATCCTACGCGGCGAATGCCAATGGATACACTGTTGAAGTGTGAAAGAGTTCTGGAGAAGTTGGATATTCATCGTGATGCTGAAATTGAAGCACCTGTACCACCAAATATGGAGACCTGCATTGCTAACCTTGAAGAAGCTCTGAACACTGTTCTAAAGTCTCCATGCGCTGCTCATACATTACATCGAACAATTTCCCCTGCATTGTCAGTGCTGCTGGGTCCAACTTATGTCACCTATCCAGCAAAGCACTCTAAACGGGACAACCCTCTTCAACCTCCACCGGAGACACCAAACATCAGTGATATTGTCCAAGGAGAGGTAGCTCGGCTTAATGCTCGATTCAGAGTAAATTTAGACTGCCAGATGCCCCCTGGAAGTGATGAGTTAACTCTTATATGTCAACTTGATGATCCCAACCTTCCCTGTGTTCCTCCTCTTACTCTTACAGTTCCAGCTAAGTATCCAGAAAAACCTCCTCGTTGTGACTTATTGGCTGTAGATTATCAAACTACAGATTTTTTGAAAAGCATTAGAGAAAGTATGCTGGTCAGACTGCAGAACATGCCTCCTCACTGCAGTCTCACTATGCTGTTGCACAGCTGGGAGATGAGTGTGCGCCAGGCTTGTGCTCCAAAGTCGTCTATGACTTCAGCGATAGCTAAAGCCCTATCAGTGACTGGTGCTTTTTAGGTTCAAAATTCCTTTGAATTCAATTACTTATATTTGAGTAATTTGACATGCTTAAAAACATAAGAATGACACATGCACACATTCTTTATATGTGGTATATTACTTATTGATATATTGCAATTTTTGTTTACAATGTACTAAGGTATAATTTTTTTTGCACTTATGAAAAGTCTGTATACTAATACAAGCTACATTAGACCAGGGCTGATAGTGGTCCATTTTTCCTCTAGGAGCTGGATTTTACAAAGGAAAATTTCTCCAATAATGAGGCCTAATGGAGAGAAGGGTTGAGGTATTCAGATTTGATCTGAGGAAGAGGTCAAATTCCATGGATCAAGAGCCCTTTCACTGTGGCAGGAACCCCATATAAAGGGGGTTTCATTGCCTAGATTATTTTTTTATCATAGCACTATTGTTGCATGTTTACTTTTAACTTCTTTCTTTTCCACACCCTTGCACACTCCAACATCCTCTGCAGCTTTACTTCCAAATCTTTCTACAGCACTGACATCAGCAGGAAGCAAAACTGAGAACTCTAAATTTATATATGATTCAGTATCTTTTAAGCTCAAACCTTTTCCCAACAAATCAGTGCTGTATTACCCTTGTGAGTTTAGTACTTAGTATTTTAATTTTTATTAACACATAAGCCAATTCCCACCAAGGCAGGGTGGCCTGAAAAAGAAAAAATTTCACCATCATTCATTCCATCACTGTCTTGCTAGAGGCATGCCTACACTACATTTACAAAACTGCAACATTAACACCCCTCCTTCAGAGTGCAGACACTGTACTTCCCATCTCCAGGACTCAAGTCTGGCCTGCTGGTTTCCTTGAATCCCTTCATAAATGTTACTTTGCTCACACTCCAACAGCACGTCAAGTATTAAAACCATTTGTTTCCATTCACTCCTATCAAATATGCTCATGCATGCTTGCTGGAAGTCCAAGCCCCTTGCACACCAAACCTCCTTTACTCCGTCCCTCCAACCTTTCCTAGGCTGACCCCTACCCCGCCTCCCCTCCACTACAGATTTATACACGCTTGAAGTCATTCTATTTTGTTCCACCCTCTCTACATGTCCAAACCACCTCAACAATCCCTTCTCAGCCCTCTGGATAATAGTTTTAGTAATCCCACACCTCCTAATTTCCAAACTACGAATTCTCTGCATTATATTCAAACCACACATTACCCTCAGACATGACATCGCCACTGCCTCCAGCCTTCTCCTTGTTGCAACATTCACCACCCATGCCTCACACCCATATAAGAGTGTTGGTATAACTATACTCTCATACATTTCCCTCTTTGCTTCCATGGACAAAGTTCTTTGTCTCTACAGACTCCTAAGTGCACCACTCACCCTTTTCCTCTCATCAGTCCCATGATTCACCTCATCCTTCATAGACCCATCTGCTGACATGTCCACTCCTAAATATCTGAATACATTCACCACCTCCACACTCCCTCTCTCCAATCTGATATCCAATTTTTCGTCACCTAATCTTTTTGTTATACTCATCACCTTACTCTTTCGTATATTCACTTTTAATTTTCTTCTTTTACATTACCACACTCATCCACCAACCTCTGCAACTTCTCTTCAGAATCTCCCGAAAGCACAGTGTCATCAGCAAAGAGCAACTGTGACAACTCCCACTTTGTGTTAAATTCTTTATCTTTTAACCCCATACCTCTCGCCAAGACCCGTACAACCCCATCTATAAATATATTGAACAACCACGGTGACATCACACATCCTTGTCTAAGGCCTACTTTTACTGGGAAATAATCTCCCTCTCTCCTACATACTCTAAACTGAGCCTCACTATCCTCATAAAAACTCTTCACTGCTTTATGTAACCTACCTCCTATTCCATACACCTGCAACATTTGCTACATTGCCCCCCTATCCACCCTGTTATATGCCTTTTCCAAATCCATAAATGCCACAAAAACGTCTTTACCCCTATCTAAACACTGTTCACCTATATGTTTCACTGTAAACACTTGGTCTATAAACCGCCTACCTTTCCTAAGGCCTCCTTGTTCATTTGCTATCCTACTCTTTGTCTTACTCTTAGTTCTTTCAATACTAACTCTACCATACACTTTACCAGGTATACTCAACAGACTTCTTCTTTCTTCGTTCAACACACCGGCCGTATCCCACCGAGGTGGGGTGGCCCAAAAGGAAAAACGAAAGTTTCTCCTTTTACATTTAGTAATATATACAGGAGAAGAGGTTACTAGCCCCTTGCTCCCGGCATTTTAGTCGCCTCTTTCAACACGCATGGCTTACGGAGGAAGAATTCTGTTCCACTTCCCCATGGAGGTAAGTGGAAATAAACAAGAACAAGAACTAGAAAGAAAATAGAAAAAAACCCAGATGGGTGTGTATATATATATGTTTGTACATGTATGTGTAGTGTGACCTGAGTGTAAGTAGAAGTAGCAAGACGTACTTGAAATCTTGCATGTTTTCTTATTTTCAACACACCGGCCGTATCCCACCGAGGCGGGGTGGCCCAAAAGAAAAAAACAAAGTTTCTCCTTTCAAATTTAGTAATATATACAGGAGAAGGGGTTACTAGCCCCTTGCTCCCGGCATTTTAGTTGCCTCTTACAACACGCATGACCTACGGAGGAAGAATTCTGTTCCACTTCCCCATGGAGATAAGAGGAAATAAACAAGAACAAGAACTAGAAAGAAAATAGAAGAAAACCCAGAGGGGTATGTATATATACGCTTGTACATGTATGTGTAGTGTGACCTGAGTGTAAGTAGAAGTAGCAAGACGTACCTGAAATTTTGCATGTTCATGAGACAGAAAAAAGGACACCAGCAATCCTACCATCATGTAAAACAATTACAGGCTTCCGTTTTACACTCACTTGGCAGGACGGTAGTACCTCCCTGGGCGGTTGCTGTCTACCAACCTACTACCTAGAACACAACAGACTTATTCCCCTATAATTTTTGCACTCTCTTTTGTCTCTTTTGCCTTTATACAAAGGAACTATGCATGCTCTCTGCCAGTCCCTAGGTACCTTACCCTCTTCCATACATATATTAAGTAATAGCACCAACCACTCCAAAACTATATCCCCACCTACTTTTAACATTTCTATCTTTACCCCATCAATCCCAGCTGCTTTACCCCCTTTCATTCTACCCACTGCCTCACGAACTTCCCCACACTCACAGCTAGCTCTTTTTCACTCCTACAAGATGTTATTCCTCCTTACCCTATATACGAAATCATAGCTTCCCTATCTTCATCAACATTTAGCAATTCCTCAAAATATTCCCTCCATGTTCCCGATACCTCTAATTATTTTTTTTATTAACACATCGGCCATTTCCCACCAAGGTAGGGTGGTCCGAAAAAGACAAACTTTGATCATCATTCACTCCATCACTATCTTGCCAGAAGCGTGCTCACACTACAGTTATAAAACTGCAACATTAACACCCCACCTTCAGAGTGCAGCACTGTACTTCCCATCTCCAAGACTCAAGTCCGGCCTGCCGGTTTCCCTGGATCCTTTCACAAGTGTTACTTTGCTTACACTGCAACAGCACATCAAGTCCTAAAAACCATTTGTCTCCATTCGCTCCTGTCTAACACACACACACATGCTTGCTGGAAATCCAAGCCCCTCGTACACAAAACCTCCTTTAACCCCTTCCTCCAACCTTTCCTAGGCCAACCCCTACCCCACCTTCCCTCCGCTTCAGATTTATATACTCTTGAGGTCATTCTGTTTCGTTCCATCCTCTGTACATGTCCAAGCCATCTCAGTAACCCCTCCTCAGCCCTCTGGATAATAATTTAGATAGTCCCACACCTCCTCCTAATCTCCAAACTACAGATTCTCTGCATTATATTCACACCACACATTGCCCTTAGACATGACATCTCCATTGCCTCTAGCCTTCCCCTTGTTGCAACATTCACAACAAATGCCTCACACCCATACAAGAGCGCTTGTGTAACTATACTCTCATACATTCCCCTCTTTGCTTTCGTGGATAAAATTCTTTGTCTCCACAGACTCCTTAGTGCACCACTCCCCTTTTTCTGTTACCTAAGTGTTTTGTTATCCTCATCACCTACTCTTTCCTATATTCATTTTTAGTTTCCTTCTTTTACATACCCTACCAAACTCATCAACCAACCTCTGCAACTTCTCTTTAGAATCTACCAAAAGCACAGTATCATCAGCAAAGAGCAACTGTAACAACTCACACTTTGTGTTAAATTCTTTTATCTTTTAATCCCACACCTCTAACTCTCCATTTACTAAGTCTCTTCTCCTATTTTTAACTGTCAAATCCATTCGTTCCTTAGGCTTTCTCAGCTTATTAATCTCACTCCAAAGCTTTTTCTTATTTTCAACAAAATTTGTTGATAAATCTCACCCACTCTCTCATTTGCTCTCTTTTTACATTGCTTCACCACTTTCTTAACCTCTTTTTCTTTCCATATACTCTCCCTCCTTGCATCACTTATACTTTGTAAAAACCTCTCATATGCTAACTTTTCCTCCCTTACACACACACACTACCATTTATTTAGTTTACAACTCCAATTTTATTAAAATGCACTAAACTACAATATTTTGCCAGTATCATGTATCCCTTTGTAAATCTGACTTGCTAGAAAATACACCTTCCCTACAGTTATCTGGATATATTTGATGATAAACACAATTATTTTTCACATTTTTATTTACAGTTTAGGTATTCAAAATATTGATCATGACTGTTAATGGAGATTAAACACAGTACATACAATGTCTAGTCCTGACTGACCCACATGGGTTCAGCACTTGTGACTGACAGCTTGATCTAAACAAAGTTACCTATAATTAATGTGATTTTTTTTAAAGACTTGTATTATCCACAGATTTGAAGTTCAGATGTTCAGTATGTTTCAAAGATGATTTGTTCAATCCTGCCTTGTACTGAGAGGCTCTGAATTCTGTACTATAAACATTACTTCAATTACAAGTTTCGCTTTCTTCTGCGCATTTCTTTTCTTTGTATTCCTTATGTGCCTCTTCCAGTAAAATGTTGAGCAGCCAGTTTTGTGACGAAGTCTTTTTTTCAAGTGGAGGAAATGGGTTATCTGGAGTAAAGACAATGCAATTTTTAGCGAGTTAGCATCCACAAAGAGTTGATTCTGCCAATAATTGCTGACATTATTATACCTGCCAAAACTCAAAATAATGCCCAAATTAATATTACTGTATTCTATATATATACATGTAATTTCAATTTGAGAAGCATTTAAGAAATCGTTTATTTCTGAAGAAAGTTAAGGTTTTTTTTCTAACACCCTGCCTCAGTGGGAGACGACCGACTTGTTGAAAAAAAAAAAAAAACACTGATTGTCTCCTACGAGGCCTACTGGATGTTAAAAGCCCTTGCATAAAAAAAACCTTCTTTACCCCTCCCTACAACCTTTCCTAGGATGGCCCCTATCCCATTCTCCTTCCACTATTTTGTTTCATCCTCTATAAATGTCCAAACCACCTTAATAAGCCCTCCTCAGCTTTCTAGATAATACTTTTAGTAACCCCACACCTCTCCTAATCTCCAAACTACAAATTCACTGTATAATATTCACACCACACATTGCCCTCAAATACAAAATTTCCATTGCCTCCAGTCTCCTCCTCACTGCAACATTTAAAATCCATGCTTCACACCCATGTTAAGCATATGGGTATCACTATACTCTGATACATTCCCATTTTTGCCTCCATGGATAACGTTCTTTATCTCCAAAGATGCCTCAATACACACCATTCACCACTCTTAACCTCTCTTTTACTCTCCATTATACTTCACCCTTCTTTTATCACTTCCACTTATAAAAATCTCACATATACTCGCTTTTTCTCCCTTACCACTGTCTTTTCCTTGTCATTCCACCAATTGCTCCTCTTGCCTCCTCCACCCATTTTCCCATATCCACAAACTTCTGGTACCTAAATTAAAATTAGCTATTTGGTATTAAATATGAATGGTACAGTACGAAATTCAAGGAGCAATAACACTTATTTTTTAACAAACCATGACCCACCAAGGTAGGGTGACCCAAAAACAGGAAACATTTACCACCATTCATTCAATGGTAGTCTTGCCAGCTATTAATATTTAAATACAATACATAATTAACCTTTGACATCATTAATCATGCCTACTGATTTCATGTCTTTTTTTTTAAATGGCTGTTTCCTACATAAGCACGGTGATCCGAAAAAGAAAAAAAACATTTTTGTCATCACTCACTCCATCACCATCTTGCCAGAGGTGTGATAATACTACAGTTCAAAACATATCTCCACCCCTCCTTTAGAGTGCAGGCACTGTACTGCCCACCTCCAGGACTCAAGTCCAGCTAACTGGTTTCCCTGTATTCCTTTGTAAATGTTACTTTGCTCACACTCCAACAGCATGTCAAGTCATAAAATCCATTTGCCTCCACTCGCTCCTATCTAACATACTCACACACAATCACTGGAAGTCCAAGCTCCTTGCACACAAAACCTCCTTTACCCCCTCCCTCCAATGCCTATAACCCTTTAAACTATGCACAGATTAGAGCCTTGACAGTCATGCTATGGGCATTATTTTGAAAAAATTTAAAAAATATTTTTATTACAAGATTGTAGAGAATATAAAACTGAATAAAGCTAGAATACAAAAACTGAAAAATAATAAAAACAGTTTTGTCACATAATGAAGTTTGATAAATATATTGTAACTTAACAGGCAACTTGGCAATGAAATTGTGTATTTTGCATATATGACTAGTGTTTTTTTACTTGGTCTTTGTATCTTAGATGATAAGATGTGAAACCTTTTACAGAGCAAACTGATAAGCCAATGAAAGAACTTGGTGATACAGGCAAAGGCTGTACTGTACTGGGATTGCTGCATATATAGTGAATACCCAGTACAGTATATGCAGCTCCCAGTCAGCCAGTAATGCATATACATATGATGCACCCAGGTTTAAGGATCAACAATGACAACCCATATAAGTTATAAATAGAACAAATTCAGCACTTCTACAAAGATGATTAACAAAACATTCACATACCTCGTAGTTCTAGGACAGACCGTTCATAAAAGCAGCCTGGGTATATGTTTGGAGCTTTGTATAATCGTGTGTAAGAAGTCTCTGTATTCTTGTAACGTGGGACTAAAACCTGAAAATATATACAAACAAATAATGTTTAACATCAAGAAAATATGCTACTGCAGTGAGTCAATTATCAATCAACCTGCAGGACAGTGTCCAAACAGAGCACATACACACAAGGATGAATAAGTGTTGATAAATAGCTACCAAAAGACTTTTGATAGTGGAAGTTTAAAGCAGTTTTATAAGTGCAGTATGAGCTCTAGACAAGTAAACCGAGACAAAAACTTGAAATTTCTTAGTTTTTAAAGCAATATTATGAGTGGAGTACCAGCTCAAGACAGGTAAGTAAACTGAGACATAAAGCTCATTATTATTATCACAATCATGGGGAAGTGCTAAACCCATAGGATTATACAGTACCTGTGGTGGGGGGAAGGTATTCAGTCTTAATTTAGGAAACTGGAGTACAGATCCAATTCCCTAGATCAAGAGCCCCTCACCAGCATCAAGGAACCTCCCTTGAGGGGTGACAAAAAGTTCAAAATTTCTGTTAGTTTATCAAGAAAACTGTTTTACTAGACAGTATTGAGCTTTGCTGCCTAACCAGCTGATTCTGGACTTATCCTCCCTTTCTTAGGATTGAACCTGGTTGCTTTGCCAGGCATTGTATGACCCCTACAGGTTTAGTGCATCTCACTGATTAAAAATAATAACTAGTTGCTTACAAAATGGCAGGCTTCCCATGGCAATGACGTCAACAAACACTAGCTCTTCACAAAAAAAATGAATTTTTAGGATTTAATGCTTTAAAATAATATGAGTAAACAGCAACAAAGAAAATGTGGTGGAAACAAATCACATAAGGCAAGGTAAAAGATACATTTTCATTGCCTTAAAGTGTTAAAGCATGAAAAAAAACTTATAACTCATGAACCATACCCCGGTCGGGGGTATATGATACAATGTATTAAATTGCATATGTAGATAATTTGTTTAACCACAGTATTAAAATAAAATAATTTAGGATATACAGTAGTACCTCAGTAAATAACAAAAAAGGCACAATACCGTGACTGAAACAATACACAAATAACCCGCACCGAAACGTCGTCATAAGCTCCTCTCTTCTGTGTGCGGGTTATTTGTGAACCTCAGTACTTGAACTTAATTCATTCCAGAAGGCTATTCGAGTACTGAACAAATTTTTCCCATGAGGATTAACATAAATTAGATTAATCCACTTCAGACCCCCAAAATTACACTTACAAAACCATTTTAACACAAAGTTTACAAGCCTAGCATGCTTTGAACACTTCACTACCTGTATCAGTACTCATTCCAGGAGTGTTTTTCAAGAGATCGGAGTGCAGATGTTTTGCTTTTTCGCAAATGAAGGTCTCAGAAACACTATCACCAGTTAACTGTTTTTCAATGATCCAAATCAACAACAATTTCTCAACCTCTTCAATTGTTTGTGGTCTTTGTTTCGTAACTGCTTTCACTCCTTTTGCAACATTAGCCTTTTTAATGGCCTCTTTATTTTTTAGTAATTGTAGATATCATAGATTTCGCCATATGAAACTTGGTAACAAGATCAGACATGTGGGCACTGCTTTCACATTTCACTACGAGTTTTTTTTCATCTCTGTTGTAACAAACCAATTTTCTTTTTGGTTGACTGTTATCACTAATATTCTTAGGCCCCATGGTGACTTATTTATACAAATAATATAAAAAAAAAAAACAGAAAATGCAAAGAAACCCGAAATAGTTTACAGCAAAGTTCTGGCAGGTCATGTTTGTTTGGTCGAGTGCCGAGCAAGCGGTCAACTACCAAGTGATTTTTTTTACCAAACAAAGCATTTGAATACCAAATTGTTCGAGCTGGGAGTTATTCGAGGTACTACTGTAGTTCCAAAGTATTTTCTTGTCTTGATGCTAGTGATAGACTCTCAATTCATAGAATCAGAGCTACCCCTCATGTAAAACCTGATTACCTCCCATTCCCCAGGTGCTGTATGATGTCTATGGGTTTAGCACTTCTTGTGAAAATAATAATAAAAATAATAATATTATTATTAACAATAATAAAAGTATAAAATATTTGTTTTAGAGCACATTTACCAAATGTTAACGAACTTATATTAATAGTTTCTCAAATGAGAAATCAAATTTAAAAAAATTCAAAATTTCATCATATATTAATCAAGCCTCAGGATAAAATACTGCAACACAGAACTCCTTAATAAGTATTTTATTATTTGTGGCCTAATAGTATCACCTTTTTTTTTTTTTTTTTTTACTTTTGAAATGCTTCACTTGACAAGAATGTAGTTTCATAAAGATAGGAATTGTACTACATACTATACTGTGCTCCACCAGAATTACAATATTTTCAGTTCTTAGGCCCCAACATAAAAGGTTTCTGGAAATCCTGCCATACAATCATGGAGGCAAGTTTAGTAAGGGTTAATTTTTAATTTGCTCATATACATTTTAATATTAACTTTTACAGTATTTTAAGCATTACAAATTGGCACAGCTTTTATGAATTCAGTGGTGTAGTGCTACATGTTAGTACGCTCCAATCATCCAGCCACACATGAATACCCAGCAAACAGTCCACCTACACACTCATTCTCTTTTTTTGCTGTGATAAAACTGAATATTTTATGCACCAACTTTGAATAATTTGTGAATAAGCTGCTTTTCGGTGAGCCAGAAGTCAGCCATCTCCATTGTAGGTCTGTGACAGTCTCCATACTTAATGGCATCTGCAATGAGCTGTAAAGCAATAATAATTATCAGCAGGTACATGTATTTTAAATCAACAATCTTAACATTTGTGATGAATATCAATTTCATACACTTATCCTAAAAGAGACGACAGATTTTAGAGCATATATGGATGTATTAAGGCCATGTTAATTTGACAGGACATTTTCATGTCAGAAATTATTATTTTATTCATAATTATAGATGGTTTAAACAAATAATTTATTTTATTTAAGAAATACAATAAATCCTTGATTTAACAGATGTTGGAGATACGTACATACATATAAATCCAATGGGTCAAGTGATTTGGAAACTAACAGTTAAAATCTGTTGGTTACAAATTAGTTTCTTAAATAAAGCATTTATAATTATTACAGTATTACATTTAAGGGAAAGAACTAAATCCATATGGGTGGCACAGCACCCTTAAGAAAGAAAAAAGATTACTTATTTTTGAAGGAAGTGTCACTTATGGTGCAGATGAAGCCTCTGACTTTTCAACTCATCAATGTCAGTGAAGTCTCCAGGCAGAAGGTTCAGGGACTTGTTAAAATATACCCCTCAAGGAAGGTTCCTTGATGTTGGTGAGGGGCTCTTGATTTAGGGAATTGGATCTGTGCTCCAGTTCCCCGAATTAAGCCTGAATGCCTTCCACATCCCCCCCCAGGTGCTGTATAATCCTCCGGGTTTAGCGCTTCCCCCTTGATTATAATAATAATAATAATAATAATTGTTAAAATATAAAAAGTTATCCAACATCATTTAGGCTTAAGGTAGATTATGCTAGGCTAGTGCTTGCTGATTACCTGGAGTTTACCTGGAGAGAGTTCCGGGGATCAACGCCCCCACGGCCCGGTCTGTGACCAGGCCTCCTGGTGGATCTGAGCCTGATCAACCAGGCTGTTACTGCTGGCTGCATGCAAACCAACGTACGAGCCACAGCCCGGCTGGTCAGGAACCGACTTTAGGTGCTTGTCCAGTGCCAGCTTGAAGACTGCCAGGGGTCTGTTGGTAATCCCCCTTATGTATGCTGGGAGGCAGTTGAACAGTCTCGGGCCCCTGACACTTATTGTATGGTCTCTTAACGTGCTAGTGACACCCCTGCTTTTCATTGGGGGGATGTTGCATCGTCTGCCAAGTCTTTTGCTTTTGTAGTGAGTGATTTTCGTGTGCAAGTTCGGTACTAGTCCCTCTAGGATTTTCCAGGTGTACATAATCATGTATCTCTCCCGCCTGCATTCCCGGGAATACAGGTTCAGGAACCTCAAGCGCTCCCAGTAATTGAGGTGTTTTATCTCCGTTATGCGCGCCGTGAAGGTTCTCTGTACATTTTCTAGGTCAGCAATTTCACCTGCCTTGAAAGGTGCTGTTAGTGTGCAGCAATATTCCAGCCTAGATAGAACAAGTGACCTGAAAAGTGTCATCATGATAGTTTTACTTAATTTATATGTAGGGGAACTCTGCCAGTAGAAAAAAGATCAGACTTCTGACAGATCAAAGACCTGACTGGGACTGGGGCTTAAACAGTTGTCCCCTCAAAGAAGGTTCCTTGATGTTGGTGAGGGGCTCTTGATCTAAGGAATTAGACCAATGCTCCAATTTCTTAAATCAAGCCTGAATTCTTCCATTTCCCCGTGACACTGCATGATCCCTATAGATTTAGTTCTCCCCATAAACGCAATAATAATAATAATAATAATTATTATTATTATTATTATTATTAATTATTAAATAGCTGTACAGCTCCCAGAAGTGTACCAAAGTACACATCAAAACATGTTAAGAAACATTCTCCCAAAAGGAATAACCAAAATAGCAGAAAAATCTTACCCGTTCAGCATAGCCCCTGGCCTCATCAGCTCGGAAATAGTTCAATTCAATCCTTTCATTTTTCACGAGGTCCGAGACGTTGTTCCTTAGTTTGTGCAGCCTACCTTCAGGGCCTTTAGGATTAGAAAACTTCTTGTGTTTTGCACTAATTGTTACGCGAATGGCTGGGATGAGCTTACGGATCTCTGCCTGGTTCATCTTGTCTAAAGGGTAAACTTATTTTTTTTTTGCTTCAAAAGGCTCAAATTGCGTATGTTATCTCTCGTTGTTGTTGGGGTCTTGTTGGGTTTCTAAGGGCCACCAACAGTTTCCGCCACATTTAGTCTTCCTTTTCCATGTACAAATACAAATTTTATTTCTTTGCAAAGGTTACAATGTGTGATTTACGTTTTCTAAAATGTTGTTAAGTTAAAAGAAAGCTACTAACATGCTTGAGCATTTCGAGCAGACTAATAAATGCTTACACACTACTTGAAACTAGACATAAAGTTATGGAGTGGTAAATTTTAATTATTCATTATTATACATTCTAAAAATAGAGAGCTAACCAAAATATTATAATTACTAATATTTATAGTAGAGAAGAAGTAAAAAAAAATCTCAATTAGTAAGGGTCCTAAGAAGCAAGATCACCACCCATCTAGAAACCCATCAGTTACACAACCCAGGGCAACATGGGTTTAGAACAGGTCGCTCCTGTCTGTCTCAACTATTGGATCACTACGACAAGGTCCTAAATGCACTAGAAGACAAAAAGAATGCAGATGTAATATATACAGACTTTGCAAAAGCCTTTGACAAGTGTGACCATGGCGTAATAGCGCACAAAATGCGTGGTAAAGGAATAACAGGAAAAGTCGGTCGATGGATCTATAATTTCCTCACTAAAAGAACACAGAGAGTAGTCGTCAACAGAGTAAAGTCCGAGGCAGCTACGGTGAAAAGCTCTGTTCCACAAGGCACAGTACTCGCTCCCATCTTGTTCCTCATCCTCATATCCGACATAGACAAGGATGTCAGCCACAGCACCGTGTCTTCCTTTGCAGATGACACCCGAATCTGCATGACAGTGTCTTCCATTGCAGACACTGCAAGGCTCCAGGCGGACATCAACCAAATCTTTCAGTGGGCTGCAGAAAACAATATGAAGTTCAACGATGAGAAATTTCAATTACTCAGATATGGTAAACACGAGGAAATTAAATCTTCATCAGAGTACAAAACAAATTCTGGCCACAAAATAGAGCGAAACACCAACGTCAAAGACCTGGGAGTGATCATGTCAGAGGATCTCACCTTCAAGGACCATAACATTGTATCAATCGCATCTGCTAGAAAAATGACAGGATGGATAATGAGAACCTTCAAAACTAGGGAGGCCAAGCCCATGATGACACTCTTCAGGTCACTTGTTCTATCTAGGCTGGAATATTGCTGCACTCTAACAGCACCTTTCAAGGCAGGTGAAATTGCTGACCTAGAAAATGTACAGAGAACATTCACGGCGCGCATAACGGAGATAAAACACCTCAATTACTGGGAGCGCTTGAGGTTCCTAAACCTGTATTCCCTGGAACGCAGGAGGGAGAGATACATGATTATATACACCTGGAAAATCCTAGAGGGACTAGTACCGAACTTGCACACGAAAATCACTCACTACGAAAGCAAAAGACTTGGCAGACGATGCAACATCCCCCCAATGAAAACCAGGGGTGTCACTAGCACGTTAAGAGACCATACAATAAGTGTCAGGGGTCCGAGACTGTTCAACTGCCTCCCAGCATACATAAGGGGGATTACCAACAGACCCCTGGCAGTCTTCAAGCTGGCACTGGACAAGCACCTAAAGTCGGTTCCTGACCAGCCGGGCTGTGGCTCGTACGTTGGTTTGCGTGCAGCCAGCAGTAACAGCCTGGTTGATCAGGCTCTGATCCACCAGGAGGCCTGGTCACAGACCGGGCCGCGGGGGCGTTGACCCCCGGAACTCTCTCCAGGTAAACTCCAAGTATAATTTACAATGTCACATTAGTACAATTTATTCTTTAAATATATAAGTTTATTTACTTACAATTGCACAATTTTTTGGACAAATTAAATTGTCTCACCTAGTAACATTATATAAATTACCTAAGACAATCCAAAAAAGTCAATCAAAGAGACATTTCCATTGGGGTTCTTGTAATATCTAGCTATTAGATTTACTAATAATTAGTAATGATTATTAAAACTAAAAACAATTATATTTATTTATTAACACATCGGCCGCTACCCTCGAAGCCAGGTGACCCGAGAAATAAAAGCTTTCGTCATTCACTCCATCACTGTCTTGCCAGAGGCATACTTACACTACAGTTATAAAACTGCAACATTAACACCCCTCCTTCAGAGTGCAGACACTGTATTTCCCATCTCCAGGACTCAAGTCCGGCCTGCTGGTTCCTCTGAATCCCTTCATAAATGTCACCTTCTTACACTCCAACAGCACGTCGAGTCCTAAAAATCATTTGTCTCTATTCGCTCCTGTCTAACACTCTCACACACGCTTGCTGGAAGTCCAAACCCCTCGCACACAAAGCCTCCTTTATCCCCTCCCTCCAACCTTTCCTAGGCCAAACCTTCCCTCCACTACAGATTTGTATACTCTCGAAGTCATTCTATTTCGTTCCATCCTCTCTACATGTCCAAACCATCTCAATAACCCCTTCTCAGCCCTCTGGATAATAGTTTTGGTAATCCCACACCTCCTCCTAATCTTCAAACTATGGATTCTCTGAATTATATTCACACCACACATTGCCCTTAGACATGACATCTCCACTGCCTCCAGCCTTCTCCTTGTTGCAACATTCACAACCCATGCCTCACACCCATAAAAGAGCGCTTGTATAACTATACTGTCATACATTCCCCTCTTTACTTTCATGGATAAACTTCTTTGTCTCCACAGACCCCTTAGTGCACCACTCACCTTTTTCCCCTCGTCAGTTCTATGATTCACCTCATCCTTCATAGACCCATCTGCTGACACGTCCACTACCAAATATCTGAACACATTCACCTCCTCCATACTCTCTCCCTCCAATCTTCCATTACCTATTTTTTTTGTTATCCTCATCACCTTACTCTTTCCTATATTCAGTTTTAACTTCCTTCTCTTACATACCCTACTAAACTCATCAACCAACCTCTGCAACTTCTCTTCAGAATCTTCCAAAAGCACAGTGTCATCAGCAAAGAGCAACTGTGACAACTCCCACTTTGCGTTAGATTCTTTATCTTTTAACCCCACACCTCTTGCCAACACCCGAGCATTACCTGGAGTTTACCTGGAGAGAGTTCCGGGGGTCAACGCCCCCGCGGCCCGGTCTGTGACCAGGCCTCCTTGTGGATCAGAGCCTGATCAACCAGGCTGTTACTGCTGGCTGCACGCAAACCAACGTATGAGCCACAGCCCGGCTGATCAGGAACTGACTTTAGGTGCTTGTCCAGTGCCAGCTTGAAAACTGCCAGGGGTCTGTTGGTAATCCCCCTTATGTATGCTGGGAGGCAGTTGAACAGTCTCGGGCCCCTGACACTTATTGTATGGTCTCTTAACGTGCTAGTGACACCCCTGCTTTTCATTGGGGGGATGTTGCATCGTCTGCCAAGTCTTTTGCTTTCGTAGTGAGTGATTTTCGTGTGCAAGTTCGGTACTAGTCCCTCTAGGATTTTCCAGGTGTATATAATCATGTATCTCTCCCGCCTGCGTTCCCGGGAATACAGGTTTAGGAACCTCAAGCGCTCCCAGTAATTGAGGTGTTTTATCTCCGTTATGCGCGCCGTGAAGGTTCTCTGTACATTTTCTAGGTCAGCAATTTCACCTGCCTTGAAAGGTGCTGTTAGTGTGCAGCAATATTCCAGCCTAGATAGAACAAGTGACCTGAAGAGTGTCATCATGGGCTTGGCATCCCTCGTTTTGAAGGTTCTCATTATCCATCCTGTCATTTTTCTAGCAGATGCGATCGATACAATGTTATGGTCCTTGAAGGTGAGATCCTCCGACATGATCACTCCCAGGTCTTTGACGTTGGTGTTTCGCTCTATTTTGTGGCCAGAATTTGTTTTGTACTCTGATGAAGATTTAATTTCCTCGTGTTTACCATATCTGAGTAATTGAAATTTCTCATCGTTGAACTTCATATTGTTTTCTGCAGCCCACTGAAAGATTTGGTTGATGTCCGCCTGGAGCCTTGCAGTGTCTGCAATGGAAGACACTGTCATGCAGATTCGGGTGTCATCTGCAAAGGAAGACATGGTGCTGTGGCTGACATCCTTGTCTATGTCAGATATGAGGATGAGGAACAAGATGGGAGCGAGTACTGTGCCTTGTGGAACAGAGCTTTTCACCGTGCCTGCCTCGGACTTTACTCTGTTGACTACTACTCTCTGTGTTGTTAGTGAGGAAATTATAGATCCATCGACCGACTTTTCCTGTTATTCCTTTACCACGCATTTTGTGCGCTATTACGCCATGGTCACACTTGTCGAAGGCTTTTGCAAAGTCTGTATATATTACATCTGCATTCTTTTTGTCTTCTAGTGCATCTAGGACCTTGTCGTAGTGATCCAATAGTTGAGACAGACAGAAGCGACCTGTTCTAAACCCATGTTGCCTTGGGTTGTGTAACTGATGGGTTTCTAGATGGGTGGTGATCTTTCTTCTTAGGACTCTTTCAAAGATTTTTATGATATGGGATGTTAGTGCTATCGGTCTGTAGTTCTTTGCTGTTGCTTTACTGCCCCCTTTGTGGAGTGGGGCTATGTCTGTTGTTTTTAGTAACTGTGGGACGACCCCCGTGTCCATGCTCCCTCTCCATAGGATGGTAAAGGCTCGTGATAGGGGCTTCTTGCAGTTCTTGATGAAGATAAGATAAGATTTCGTTCGGATTTTTAACCCCGGAGGGTTAGCCACCCAGGATAACCCAAGAAAGTCAGTGCGTCATCGAGGACTGTCTAACTTATTTCCATTGGGGTCCTTAATCTTGTCCCCCAGGATGCGACCCACACCAGTCGACTAACACCCAGGTACCTATTTGCTGCTAGGTGAACAGGACAATAGGTGTAAGGAAACGTGTCGGAATTTCCACCCGCCGGGAATCGAACCCGGGCCCTCCGTGTGTGAAGCGGGAGCTTTAGCCACCAGGCCACCGGTCTGGCCCTGGGGCAGAGTGCATGGGCATGTCATTTATCGCCTGTTCGAAGTCATTTGGCGTCAGGATAACATCAGATAGGCTTGTGTTAACCAAATTCTGTGGCTCTCTCATAAAA